TTGCGTGGCCTCTCCAGGCTGGAATGGGGAGTGGCCCTCTTGCCCATCCACCAGTAATCCCCTGAGACGGGGTGAACCTGACACCCAGGCCCTCTAGACCAGCTCTCTTGGGCTCTCTTCATGTCTGTGTCTCTCTGTCTCTCCGTCTTTCTCTTACCCCCGCCTCCTGCTCTATCTTTCTTTCCCCTTCAGAAGACTGCTAGGGCACCAAGGTGGGAGGTGGCAGGCCAGCTGAAATATGATCAGAATAATTAAATAGCATTTTATTTGAAATCATTGCCTCCCCCAGAGTTGAAAGAATAATTGGCCAGTCCGTCACAAGGGAAGCAGGAGACCCGTGGGCCCCCACCATTGCCAAGTTTGGCTCATAGTACCCTTGGCAGCAAGTGGCCTCCCCTTTGACTGCTCCCCTGCACCCTTCACCTGCCCTAGCCTAGCCTGCCCTGCCCTCCACTCCTCCCACCTCACCTGTTGTTCTACCCTCGGCATCTCCCCCTCTACGATGACTGCCTTGATTGAGCTGAGGGGAGAGCTGCAGACTGCTCTTAGGCCCCCAGTCTGCCTGGCAGAGGAAGTCTGTAGCAAGGCTTTGATGGCAAGGAAAACGCCTCCTTGGGAGTGGTGAGAAGGCCTGCAGAGGTAGGTGGGGGTCCAGAGATCCTCGCCCCTACTGGGCCTTAGCCTCTCCTGGCCCTTCCCCTGTCTGCTCTTGAACAAAGCCCTCCCCCTTCCCTCTCGTCCCTCTGCAGGGTCCAGCCGCCCACACCTACCCTTGCCCTCTGAGGGTGAACGTGCAGTGTCACCTGTCTCTGTTTTTTTGATTTAATTATAGATGAGTTTTCTGCATAATTTATTCCAAAAGCCTGGATTATACTGTACAATTAAATCATTCTGATCAACAACTTCACGTATAAAATTAACAACTGGCAACAGTTTAAACTATGCTGTTGCATCTGTATACAGGCTCTTTCCCTCTTCTCTTCCCTCCCCTCCCCTCCCCTCCCCTCTCCTCCCCTCCCTTCCCCTCCCTTCCTCCCCTCTCCCATCTTCCCTGCCTCTTCCTCCCTGTCTGGGGGAGCCTGTGTATCTGGCCTCGGAGCTGGAGGCCTTCACTGCTCTTGTAGCTTGACCTGGGGCCTCCCCAGCCTTCTAGTGGGAGTCTTGATAGTTCTGTCTGCTAAAGGGGGTCCTCAGCTCCAGCTCCTCGCTCCACATATGGGTGATTTTGCTCCCTTGCCTAATGATGACACCTCCTCTTCCCTCACGTACTCCTCTTGGTTCTGAAACATGCCCTGGAGACTAAAAGACCTGGAGTCCCACAGCAGCTGGTGTCATCTTCCTTCTGGGCTGCCCTCAACCCTCTAGCCCTGGGACACACACATCTTTGCCCTGTGCCTGCTCCCGGCCTCTCTCAGCCTGGGGAGCAGGGGGTTACAGAGAGCCATTAGGGAAACCCTTTCCACATTTCCCTCCCTCTGTGCTCACTCCCCCCAGCAGGCATTCAGGGAAGATTTTCTGAGCACTGGGAAGCGAGGAAGGGCTGGATTTGATGAGCTTCTAGCCCTCAGGGGACTGCCCAATAATAATACTGCCCATCAAGGTTCCATGTGGATTTGGCCCTGAAAAGTATTCAGCCAGTCATTATCTTCCCTGTTTATAGACCGGAAAGCTGAGGTTCTGAGGGGCAAGAACTCTCCGAGGTCACACAGCTGACAGAGGCAGCCTCTCCCTTAGGCTTCCCAGAGGCTGCATTGTCCTAGGAGGGGGGGTCATGGAGCTGATGGAGCCAGGAAGACAGGTCTGGCTTCTCTCTGTAGAACATGGCTCCGCACCTGTCCTTGCCAGGGGCCTCAGTTTTCTTGTTTGTGAAATGGGGGCTCAGTGCCTGCACCCCACTAGGTTTGGGCACATTGGAGGACATAATGGTGTGAGGCTGTCATGGCCACACCAGACATCATGCCGGCTGCAGTCCCCGGCTGCACGTGCCTCCTCCCAGACACTCTCTCTCCTCACTGTCTTGCTAATTTGGCACTTAGAGACACTTGGAGATAAGCAGTGTCATCTCAATGAATCGCATGGAAAATCACAGGGATGTGGGGAGCCAGCAGGGGGATCTACCCTGTTGGGGGGGTTGACCCATGGGCCACACTGTCTGGTCAGGGAGCAATGGGAGATGCAGGCACCTGGGTCCATATTGATGGGACCCCAGGCAGGATTTGGTCAGTTTGCCTTTGACCCAGTGGCGCCACGAATCCTGATGCATCCCCCATCCTTTCAAAGCCCCCATGCCCTTCTGTTGGTGTGAGTATGACTGTGCCTGGCCAGGGTTAGTACGGGCTTGGTGGGTGGTTTCTCCTGCCTCTGGGCAAGAACACTGCAGGTGCATAGTTGACTCCTGGCCTCCTGGGTCCCATGTGTCACCCCTTGGAACCAGCACGGGGACACCAGCCAAACTCTGGAACCCACAAATTCATGTCTCTGTGATGATGAAATGAATGATCTATCACGTTCTTTTAAACTCTTGGACACATACTGCCTTCCTAGTTGGGTTTGGTTTAGGTGAATGATCAGAATAACTTGTTTTCCCTGGCATCGTGATGGTGGGCATTGCAGCTGGGGCCTGGGGTCTACCCATCAGACCCACTGTGCCAGACCAAGGGCTAGAGCCACCTCTAGACCCCAGGAGGGTGTGCCTGTTCTGATGTGTCAGGGGTAGGCCAGTCCCTGTGGCCCGTAGCAGCATCCCAGGCTCTGTCTCAGGAGCATAAAACAGCCACCTGACACACTGTCAGGTGCTTATGGCTCAGCCAGGGCCAAGCCATCAGCTCCTGGTGACCTGGAGCCAGGGGACAAGCAGGCTCTCCATTCTCTGCTGGGCTTTGCCCTCCCCCAGCAAAAAACCTCCCCTGGTGGTTGAGGCCTGATCACCCTTCATAGCCTGGCCTGCAGCCTGGCCTCCACCTGGGCTTGGGGTTAGCTTTTCCCCTGCAGTGGGGAGCAGAGGTGGGCATCAGGCTGTGTCTCAGCCAGCAACAAGCTGAAGCTGATACCTCTTTCTCTTTTTTTAAAAACTAGATTTTATTTATTTATTTATTTATTTATTTTTGGCTGCGTTGGGTCTTTGTTGCTGCACACGGGCTCTCTCTAGTTGCGGCGAGCAGGGGCTGCTCTTTGTTGTGGTGCACGGGCTTCCCACTGCGGTGGCTTCTCTTGTTTCGGAGCACTGGCTCTAGGCATGTGGGCTTCAGTAGTTGTGGCTCGCAGGCTCAGTAGTTGTGGCTCACTGGCTCTAGAGCTCAGGCTCAGTAGTTATGGCGCATGGGCTTAGTTGCTACACGGCATGTGGGATCTTCCCGGACCAGGGCTTGGACCAGTGTCCCCTGCGTTGGCAGGCGGATTCTTAACCACTGCACCACCAGGGAAGCCCAATACCTCTTTCTTTTGATGTTGACTTTTTTTTTCCATCACGGTCCTGACATTCAGCTTGGCAAATTGCAATTAGTGATCCGCCCGCTTCCTGATCTGAGTTCCCATGCCAACCGATGCGGGCACACACAATGGCAAGGGCCCAGCCCCCAGCCACAGGGATATGGGGCAGGGGGCTGGGGTAAAGACTTTAGCTTTTCTGACCCAGGGAGCTATAAGAGTCCTGGCCCCTAGTGGCAGTAGGGGTGGTGGGGAAGGTAGCAGGCCCAGGGCAGGAGTTGGGGCCAGACTCAATCTCCCGGATCCCATGGCTCCTGGGGTACCCTTCCAGAAGCTGGGGGCTGGCTTCACCCCACCCTTACCTGGCCTCACGGGATGTGCTTATTAACCTGTGAGCATATTTCAGTCTGTGTGGTAGTTCTCCTATGAGCCCTCCCGGGGAAGGCTTTGTTCTGTGTCTGGAAGTTGAGATGCCTTTCACATGCATTAGGGCAGGGGCTTTGGTCACAGCAGAAAGTGCTTTTGGCAGTGTGGAGAGTGTCTCTCTGGCCGGCAGGCCCTGGCAAGCGCTGGTGTGATTTTGCTCACCTGATCTGACACTGCCTAAAGTGGGATCACAGGTTAGAACCCAAGCCAGCCCTCTCCCCAGACACCATCCCTGTTCATGAGCGTGGGCTGAGAATACAGGACCTTGTGACCACCTGTCCATCCTGTCTCCTTACAGAGATCCCTGTGCAGCACCCTTGACCCTCCAGTTCCCATGTGTTCTTCTCAGACCCTACAAGGTGGCCCCAAATTATCCCCACTTTCTGGAGGAGGATAGTGAGACCCAGATAGGTTAAAGCGGGCTCAGCGTGGCACCAGTGCGAGAGAGACCTGCTCAGGCTGGTGGCTCTGGTGAAGGGCTCATGGGGCTTGCCAGGCCCCCAGAAAGGTGTGGGATAGTCTGAACTGGACCTGTGGGTAGACAGTTCACGTGGGGCATCTAGTGATGAGCCTCTGTTTACTAGGGTACTGGAAAGGCGAGGGCCATCTGAGCAGGAAGCTCTCCATGTCCACTGTTTAAATGAGGCCCAGAGGGGCAGGGGCCTGCCCCAGGTTACACAGTGACTTGGTGGTGGCAGCAGCTCTCATGTTCCCTCCCCTTGCCTAGGTGCCACCCAGCCTTGGGGCAGAAGGCTCTGAGATCCAGCAGACACCAGGCTCACTCACGGCCCCTCCTCCCTGGTATCCTGAGTCCCCATGTTCAGAGCAGCAGCATCAAGGGCTGGCTCTTCACAGTGAAAAATAGTCTCCCTGCAGGCTTCTTGGAGCCGCTGGACTCCCTCAGTGCATTTAAACTATAATCTGCTCCCCTCCCTGGCTGTCCAACAGTACGTGAGGAGAGCCTGGGCCACCGGGTCCAGACTTCAAAGGGAATCAGTGGCACGCTCTGGTTCCCAGCCTCTGTTTCTCTTCTAGTGAAAATTGGGTTCTGAAGGGGCGGCTGCTGCGTGTCACCTCTCGGTGGCTGGGGCAAGGCTGTTCCAGCCCCAGGCGGGTCCTCCTGACACTCCTCTCCTCTCTGCACACAGGATGCAGCACTGGGCCCGGCGCCTGGAGCAGGAGATCGATGGCGTGATGCGGATCTTTGGGGGTGTGCAGCAGCTCCGTGAGGTAAGCCTGGTGCCCCTGGCTTTCCCTTTAGGGACCCTGTTCCAGCTGGAAGTGGGGGAAGGGCTTCAGCAATAAGGAGTGAGGAAAGCTTGGTGCAGTTGAGGACCCAGCGTGATGGGACACTGTGGACTCATGGGGGCAGGTGGGGAAATAGCTAGAGACACAGTGACTCCTTCGGGTCTTGGCCTGCTCTTCCCCAGGTCACAATGTTGAGGTGGTACTTAGTCGGCTCTGATGGGTAGGTGTCAGGCTTTTCAGGAGGGTGAGATCTGTTTTTGAGGCAGCATTCAGAGTGGAGTCCAGGTCCTGGAGGGTCCCGTGGGTGTAGTTGTGCACGGAAGCCAGAGAGACTGTCCTCGCAATGAGTGGGGTGGCCAGGCCGAACAACCCCGGAGAGCAGTCAGTGCTGCCTGCTCAAGGAGCTGCAGCAGGAGACAAGTGGCAAGCGAGTGCTTGGTGAGATGAGGTATCGGGGGTGGGAGGGGTGATTGATTAGACGCGAGCGACCACATTCATCCTGGGAGATTATGTTAATATTTGAAATAGTGATGTGAAGAGCAGGCCATCCGTCACCCCCAGAAGGCTGCAAAATGTGTCGCTGTCGGGCCACAGGCTCCTGAGCTGTCTCTCTTTACGTGGAAACGCAGAGGCTTGGAGAGCTGAGCTCCTGGAGTGCTTGGGGTGGGGCTCCCAGGTACGTGCTGGACTTTAAGGAGCTCTTACTGGAGGCTTGGGCCAGAAAGTGCAACCTGAACTGAACAGGGGGTTAATGGGGATCTCGTACTGATGGTGGGCTTGGGCACAGCAGAGTAAGTGGAGTTATTATTGGGGGTCCAGGCCCCCGGCTTGGCGATTAGATACGCCACTGTGTTCCTGTGTCTCTCTTGGTCAGGGCCAGGTCAGCAGAGGTACGTCTGTGGGGCAGCTGCTATGAGGTGGTGTCCTCGGGCCTTTCGCCATGCTTAGCTTGTAGCAGGTACCCAGGAAATGGGGGTGGCAGTGAATGTGTTGACATTGGCTGTGGATGTAGGACCTCTGGCACAGGATGGGGCTGATCAGGGGTGGCTAATGTGGTGGTAACATAGCTAGGAGGGGGAGTCCGGGTGGGGGTCTGAGCCATCCACTTGCTGGGGGTCCTTCCGCCCAACCCCAGTGGCCCAGCCTCTCTGAATCTCCCTTCCCTGGTTACTGGGCTTGAATTGCAGTAACCCCCATCGTACTCTCTTCCTGTGAACTTTCAATGACTCAGCCACACTTGGAGGCCGGCAGAGCTTTCCAGAGAAGGCACTGTAGGAAAAGCTGTTCCGGAACAGAAGTCAATTTATGCTCAGGAATAGCACCCAGCACTTACTAGGTTCTAAGTGGGCACTGCCAAGAGTGCAGCTGTGTAGGTTAATGAAGAAATGAGAGTTCCCTGGAATGTGTTTAATGTGCCTCTCCAAGCTTCATATTGGGACATAAGATGTACCCCACATAAGGAGTTAACCATGCACTTCCAGTCAAGAATCTTCCGTACTTTCAATCCTCAGCTCAAGGATACTGCTTATTTTATAGTCGTGGGCACTCAGACCCTAAAAGTTTGCCAGTGGGAAAATAACGTACACATTTCGTGCCTGAGACTCAGGTCTGTCTGAGCCATAGCTTCCTGGATGGTGCGGACCAGAGATGGAATCCAGCTCAGCATACCCACTGTGTGCTCCTGGGCAAGTCCTAGACCCTCTCTGATCCTCATTCTTGGTCCATGGCGTGGCTGGGAGGTCTGGCTGGAGGATGAGGTGGTGAGAATGGCAGGTGACAGGCTGACACAGATACACTTCTAGAAATCAAATCTGAATTTCCCTCATTGATCATTTTCATTCCCAGGATATGTTGTTCCCTTCCTTTCTGATGGGAGTTGAGTGATTCCAGACACTTTCACCAATGAGCACATCTTTCCCCACTCCCACCTTCCCAGTGGTTACCAAAGTCACGCAGCCGGGTACAGCAGAACTGGGGCTTGAACACAGGGCTCCTGACTCCTGTCCCAGGGCGCTGCTTCTCCTCTAGCTAGGCCTTCCCTCTTGGGGTGGGCAGGATGAGCCCGAAAAAGAGGGGATCTGGGCCAGGTTTGGTGTGGCTATGGCCAGGCAGAGAAGTGCTGACCTGGCGTTCCGGGCTCCTTCTGGCATCCCTCTGCTTGTCGACAGCTGCCAGCTCTCCAGTGGCTCTCTGTCCTGCTCCAGTTTTTCTCACCTGCTTCCTTAGCCTCTTGTTTCCCACTGACAGCTCTGGGGCTGCTTCTTGGCACAGGACACCCCTGTGAGGTGGGCAGCCGGGGAGCAGGTGAAGAGTTCTAGAGGAAAAGGGCAACCCTGTGAGAGCAGGAGGGAGCCAACTGGCCCCTCTTCCCCACAACCCCTGGCACCCCTGACAAAGCCACCAGAGCTCTCCTTCAACTGCATATGAGAGGGCCCATGTGGCCAGCCCCTGCCCTGAGAGCCAGGCTCTGAGAGTCAGGAGGACGCATGCATCGAAGCCCTGACCCAGCTGCAATGCTCCGTGGACCCTGGTACCACCTCTGCCAAGCTTATGGCCTCAGTCCCCATTAGGCCCGCCCCTCTCCATGCTTCCTCGGTGGGCCCCCAAACACCTTGCCACTGGGGTGATCCTTGGCTTTCTTCCCCAACATGGCTACCCTCTCCACCAGCCCCAGTCCTAGAGGCAGCCCGACCCGCAGAAGCTGGGTGCCATAGAGCTGGCAGCTGCAAGAGTTCAGAAACTGCAGACGGTGGCATTTAGGAGCATTTTCCTTGTCTTGGCACTTTCCTCCTCCCGACCTCACCACAACCCCATGGGGGTGTGGTTGGGTGCAGACTGTGGCCCATTTACAGGCTGGACACCATGGCACACCTTGGTGGAGTGTGGGGGCTGTCTGCAAAGACCCTGTCACATTTCCTCATCTAACGCCAGGGCCAGCACAGAGTAGGAGCGCCCACTGTGGCCTGGTGCTCCTGAGCCGTGCCCCACCGGGTAAACCCAGCCCCGCCAGCCCTGGCTTACTCCTGCTGTGAACAGGCCACAGAAGTATGGGCTCTCCTGCAGTCTGCCCCCTCCAGGGCCCATAGAAGCTGAGCGAGGTCTCCTAAACCCCTTTCCTACCCTCGCCCATCAGCACCATATTGTCATCCTTTGGGGGGACAGCAGAGAGCATATGCTTGGGCTCTGAGCTCATTCACATAATGAGGTTGATCAGAATAATTCATCAGGTGCCTGGGGGTGCACGGGGGACCATGTGGAGACAGCCTGTCTCCCCACTCTGAAGCCCAGGTCACTCTGATGGGTACAGCCAGGGACCTATTCCCTTCTGACTGGGTGTCCAGGGTAGAAAGGGAACAACTCTGGGGACCTTGTGGGAAAGTAAAGCAGGACAAATTATAGTCAGACAGGAGGAAGAACCAGTGGCTCATCAGGTGCACCAGCCCTGGGACGGATTCCTGATTTCGGTGAGGCACCTTCCGTGGAGGGTCTCTACAGAAGGAAGTGAGAAGATCCTCTGTCTGGGGTGGGGGTCGGGGGTGAGGAAAGTCTGTCTGGCTAGAGCTGGTATGGGAGCAGAGACGTGGGATGGTCATGTCTGTGGACTACAGGCTATCCTCTGGGAAAGCTCAATCCAAGTCTGGACCTGTGGGAGCATTTCTCAGTCCACATCAACCCCCACACGTGTCTCAGGGCAGAAGTGGCTCAGAGCCCTGCCTACGTCCCTGGCTGCTTCCGCCCCCGTGATGGCCTTAGCCCGGCTCTATGCCGCTAGTCACTCGTGGGGAAACCAAGGTGTGGTTGACTGTCTTTACCCACCAGTCCCATCCTGGAGCCCTGACTTGCTAGCCCTGGGTAGTGGTGGGGTTGGTGAGAACTATCAAGGCAGAGGTGCAGGCCTGGGGCGGTCCCTGCCCTGGACTGCTGAGCTGCATCCACAGAGAGCGAGACCTCAGGACTCAGAGATCCCTGACCCCAAGTCTCCTGCTCCCCTCCCCACGGCTGTGCTTCTCTGGACAGTCATGGTGAATCAGACAAATGTTGTCATGTGTCCCCACTTCTGTGGGTAGCCAGAAATGGGATTTTTGAACCAGTGACGGCACCATAGTCCTAGCCCATCTTGTCTGCCCCTGGCCATGCCCACACCGTGTCTGCTCAGTGCTCCCTGGGAATGTGTAATTAATATTTGCAGAGTGCCACATCTGGAGCTGGCTCCAGGCAAGGACCAAAATCTGGCCAAATTGAGGACCCCTTTCCTGAGGGGCTCAGGGAGGCAGGAACAGGGCCCTCCGCAGGTGCCCTTGAAACAGGCTTCTCCCAGGACTTCCCTGGTGGTGCAGTGGATAAGACTCCACGCTCCCCGTGCAGGGGGCCCAGGTTCAATCCCTGGTGAGGTAACTAGATCCCACATGCATGCCACAACTAAGAGTTCACATGCCACAACTAAGGAGCTTGCCTGCCATAACTAAGACCCGGTGCAACCACATAAATAAATAAAAACAGCCTTCTCCCCGTTCCTCCACTCCCACACTCCGCTGGTACCGCCAGTTCCTGAAACGCATGCGCTGTCACACACTGGCTCAGGGGGTGCTTGCCAGAGCTGTGTTTGGCCCCCCTTCGGGGTAAGGGGTCCTCTCTGGGCATCTCAAGTGGGATCAGCAATGTCCGGGAGTGCCAGGGAAGCTCAGAACGCCAGAGGGGCAGCAGAAGAGGATGAAGGAAGCTGGGTAGTGGGGGAAGGTGCCAGGGGACAGAAGCAGCCCTGAGAGGGCCAGAATGGGAGTTCAAGTTGTTGTGACCCCCAGACCTACAGTTGGTCCTTCTATCAAAGCACTGTGGTTCACATGTGTCCCAAGAGTCAGTCCACCTTGGCCAGGTGGACCTGCACTCACGCAGGACATGCACAGTTGTCCCAGCTAATGTGCTCAGTCCGGAGAGTGGTGGTGAGGGAGACCCACCCAGGCCCATCACACTCCCTCCCCAGG